GGTCAAAAATAATGAGAAAAACAAATAATGTGAGAAGAATCGGAAGACCTTTTTGCTCTTGTTTATGTTTTCCATATAATACACGTCGATGAGAATGACGTAGTGTAAAAAATGGCTGCAGAGTTTCATTTTTATTTTGTAATAACTTATGACACAACTCTTTCTTCTCTTAAAGGTGCAGTAAAGGGTTCAGGTTAGCTTTTAGCAGTAGCATCCGAGTAGCCCCTCCCCCCGGCCCTCCACCAAACCATACACATCATATTGGTTTCTTTCTATCTGCCCACTCCAAAATACAGTATGTATTATTTATTTGCTGAGGCTACAGGCATCTGGTCAAGTCCATTCCCTTTTGAAAACACACAATTACTTGACTACTTATTATTCTAAAATTTGCGTCTGCGGATAAATCATTGACTGCATCTTTAAATCTCTCAATCCAATCTTAATTTTAGTATCAGTTTCAGCAACATGAGCCTTGTGATTGCCTTCAATGAAAAAGGAGTGCCGCTGCTCAGAAAAGTTTTATATTGTGTCTTAATATGGAGTTTATCTGTTTGTGTAAAATCCATGTTTGTTGTGAGGCGCTCGATTCCGTGGGGTTTTAAACAAGCCAATTTGTTCTCTTTCTGCTGCAGCATTGATGCAGAAAATCACTCCAATTGTGGTTTGACTGGAATCCACCTGGTACATAAAGTGTTGCCAATAAGACTTCCCCATAAAATGATTCGTGTTCCCATAAGCCATTGGGAAAAGCAAATGTTTACGATGTTAGTGCCTCATGAACATTGTGAGTATGGTGCTCTGGAAATTTGGGAAACGCAATTTTAACTTTAGTCTGGTTTGCGTTTTTGTTTCATCGATGGATACTGGCGGATTTTAATGATGCGCTTTTCTAAAAATAGTTCAGTTTGAGACAGACGAGCAAAAAAATACAACAGCATCGGACAAAACCAACTGAGCAAACACATTTTCCAAAAACACCGGCCATTTAAGCAGCAATTAATTATTAACTATTCTTCGGCCTATTTATTATTAACTACATCGCCTCAAGGTTGAAGAATTAGCATTGTTAGTGCACTCTTTATCATTTTGGATTTGAGTGCAAAACTGTTTTCCTCAGAGCTACAGAATCCACATTGTGAAGAAGGATAGACGGATTTGATAAGTCGCTGGATGGTGCGGAGCTAGAACTACACTGAGCACAATTGATTATTTTGCATTTTTGTGTGAATGAAGCGTTTTCTTTTGCACAGAGTACGTTTATACAGAAAGCGTTGGGCAGACATCTTTTTTGAACAGCTGCTCTCTTTTCCCCTTTCTCCAAAAACCATTGATTTTTCCTGTTTTTTCCCCACATGAAGTTGTTCCTCTTTTAGACCGACGAGCTGCAGCCGGCATCGCTCTTGATTACACTCTCTAAGCCTGGGGTCTCAAACCATTTCCCTGCCAGAGCTACTTTTTCAGGATTTGGTTTGAAAACATGTTGACTGTCTTAAAACAATGGAACAACCTGCTTTAGTTAAGTAAGTTTTTATTTATAAGCGCCTTTCACAAACCAGAGTCACAAAGCGCTTGACCATTTTTGTCTCTCACTCCACACAGAGAGGGGAGCGGGGTCGCCAAACAGGAGGCGAATGCCAGAACTATTGTATATGTTTTTAGTGATAGGAGAACCCAGAGCACTCGGAGAGAACATACAAACTCCACTCCGAAAGGCCGGGATTCGAACCCACGTCCCTGAGAAGCGAGAGTGCTAACCACTCAGCCACCGTGCCGCCCGCTTTATACTTATTTCCAGCACAGATATAACAAATATATCACGTGTTCTATTGGTAAATCTAGTTTTAGCATTTTTTTTAACTTTTTGGCATTTTTTGTTTGCCAATAAAAGATTCTATCATACTATTTTTTATATTTACTCATAAAATTATCCTGTGAGGAGCTACTTTGAAGAGGGTGACAAGAGAGAGACCTCTGCTCTGATCTTAAGCTCATCGGTCTGAATCCACTAACTTTGAGCTGTTTGAGGTTAAGTTATGGTCAATCTACAAATGCAAGATCAAAACTGAAACAGTGTAATACTTGTCCCTGAGGAGCTTAACGGCCCTGTTAGGATTTTATACTTCCTTCTTGCTTCTTCGTTATGGTAAAGTTTGAGATTTTACATTTGCTTTTTTATTATGCTAAAGCTAAAGATATTTTATTCTATTTTATTATAGTGTTATTGTTCATTTTTCTTGTGCTGTGTGCTTCTCATTCCTACTGTTCTGTAACTGGGGATGCAACATTGAAATTTCCCCGCTGTGGGACGAATAAAGGATCTCTTAATCTCTTACAACAGCTGAAACTTGCAGATGGAACTCTTACATTTGACTACAACAAGAATATCAAATTAAGAAACTGAAAGTGAACTATGCTCTTAAAGTATATATATTAGTTATATACACAGTTTATTTGCTGGTTCTACTGTTTACAGCAGAGCGGCCTGTGTTCCGGACTGTTCCGGGGCGAAGCAGGTGCTCAGACCGTTTTTATTGTGCTCATGTTTTTGTGTGTGTTGTTGCTATAAGAGCGGTACACCTGCCCTACACCTGCCCTACACCTGCTCTCTGCTTTTGGACCTGTCACTGTGTGTTTCTGAGATCAGGTCAAAAAGAACTTGGCCCGATGTCTCTCACTTTGCCTCTGCTCAAGTGACAAGAGACGTTATGTGGCCTTCGTGCCCTCGAGCCTTTCACTCACTGCGCTGGGAAAAAAAAACAGATGCCGTGTTGCATCAAGTGACTAATCTTCAAGTGTTGGAACATCTTTTAAATGCATTTGTGCTTTCAAATATATTACATTCATCACTTAAACATGTTTGCATGGGAAAGCCTAATCCTGGTACACTTAAGAAGTTAAGCGGGAGTGGGTCTGGTTAGTACTGAGATAGGAGACCTCTAGGATCACCCGCTGCAGCTGTAAAGTGCCAATTGGGTATTGTGTCCTGAGGTGAAATGCGTGACCCATTTTGTTGAGTCTGAGTCTGGTGTGTGTGTGTGGATGGTTGGTGGTGGTTGAAGGGGCTGATGGTACATACTGGTTGCCTCGCTCATGTTAGTATGCCCCAGGGCAGGTGTGGCTGTTTACCACTTGTACTCATTGTGTATAAAGTGAAAATATATTGCCAATGTGAAGCAATTATGTCTATAAAAGTGAGAATCTGAATTATCCATTTTCTCATGTATTTCCCGAGTCCGGATTGCAGTGGAGGTGTTTTATCGACCAGTGTGGTACAGTATCCATCTTTTTAGTGATTTCATTCTGCAATTAATTACGGATCATATTATTTTTATTTTATTTATTTATTTATTTCGAACCTGCGCTATACATATTTTTACATATATCAAAATAACAAACAAATAACTTGGTTTGAAAAGGAGTTGGATGAAGCAAATTATTATCCTTATTTTTAAACAGTGTGCTGCTAATACATCAGCTACTGTTTGCTCATACTGTACAGGGATTTGAAGATGGTCTGTGAAACGGGGACTAAACCAGGAATATCCCACTGAGAGACCGAGTCTTTTCCCAGAAGGCCAGGATTCCCTTGAACTCATGCAAACTGTTCAAAAAATGAGAACAGCAAAAATCCTCCCTTCACTGCCTGTGCCTGCGTCTGAAGAGATTACGTGCCTCTGCAGAATACAGCAAAAACGCCTTAAAACTAGATTTTGCGAATTTGAACCACTTTTCATTCCAATGTACATTTGTGATGCAGCAAAAACATGTATTACACTCATATTGATGCATCTCACGGCTTTTTACAAATAATTCTCTTTGAGGCTTTCTCATTTCACGCCTCATTTAAGCGACGTGTTTAATTGCAAACTGTTTTCAGCCATATCGGATCAATCTCCCGTGCTCTTTCCCTTCCACTCACACGGCCCTCTATCTGCGCCTGACATTCTCCTCTCTCAGAGCTGTCTTTGACCTGTTGATGAGCGAGTGCCTCAGACCCTGTCCCCGCATGTTCTCGTGATATATTTTCCGATGCGTCGTTTGTCGTATAGACCACTGCAGTCCTGGGCTTTCCTCTCTGCAGCAAAGAGAAAACAGAATGTCATTTCCGGTTTGACGCATTCAGGACTTGATATGTCACCCACTAATTATTATAGAGGCCATCTGGGGTGTAATGCAAGCCTGCGGGGCCCATACATGAGGCAACAGGTGCACACTGCAAATAAACTGTTAGAAGATGGAAAGGGTGTAGGTGACAATTGAAAGTGTAAAAAACAAAACAAGATTAAGATGAACTTGCGTGGAATGAAAATGCTCAGAGACGAAATGCCCTGTAGAAATAATTTAGCATTTTATTGTCGCCTTTCATCAAGAAGGCACTGGTTCGACGCCGCTACTGCACATGCCCTTTATGTGTGAGGCTTTCCCAGTCTGCTCTGGTTTCCTCCAGGTGCTCCGGTTTCGTACATTCAGACTGGAAGACTGGTACATGGTTCACAGTGTTCCTGCTCCTCGGCCACACTGAGTTCTCTCGTCACTACACGCTCATCAAGCAATCAAGCACAGCTGCAGACACACACCTGCGCCATCTGCATCACAACATGGCTGCATTTAAACAGAGCCACTCAGTCCTTGCATCAAGCCGCTGTTCGTGCTGCAACCCACCTCCTCCTCATCACCACCTCTTCAGTGGAGAATTGTTATGTTCAGCTTCCTTTGGCAGCAGGGTTTAATAGTGAATATTTTGAATGCAGGAAATGTCCGAGGTTTATTACTGTGTCGAGGTCTTATTTGAGTTTGATTCAAAGTGGGAGATGTGAAAATGGTGCATGGAATTCTTCTGAAATAGTTGAGAGAATGTGGAACAGTATTCATCTTTTTAGTGACACACATGTATCTCTCTACTCACAGGTTCAACATCTTCTGGAGTGATTTTGGTCAAGTCTTCAGCTCTGAGGAGTCCCCACTGCACCAGGTGACCTCACGGCTCCTCTCCAACCATGGAGGACAACTACCAGAACCGGACTGCCTTCATTAAAGGTGCCAAAGACATTGCCAAAGAAGTCAAACGACAGGCGTCCAAGAAAGTTGGCCGCTCCGTTGACCGAGTGAGCGATGAGTACGCCAAGCGCTCCTACAGCCGCTTCGAAGAGGATGATGATGATGAGTATCCCGTGCAGGGGAGCCAAGATGGAGGATATTACCGTGGAGACAGCCAGGTTAGCGCTCTGTGCTATTTTAACATTCACTATCAGGCTTCCACTATTCATGAATGGGATTGGTTAGTTTTGTAAATCTGTCTTTTCAAAATGTCTATGAACCCAGGTACATTCATATATTCTCACCTAAAATTAAAAAGCACCAAAAAACTATACTGGAGCTGTGATTTGTGGATAGCCAGCAGTTCCAGTATATGAACAAATAAAAAAAATGAATTGTTGGTTTTGTTTGGAAATTGCGTGTTTATATGTCCTCTTTACAATAAATTACAATACCACATTTTTAGAACATTGTTTAATGATTTAACTTGAATTCTTTTATGCGCGTGTAATACTGCATTACTTAATGTCCATATGAGTAAGTTAATGCTTAGAAGGTTCTTTTAATGAGACAAATAATGCAAAGAAGCTTACTGCTTAATAACCACATGTTTTGGCGGTAGACGTCCGCCATTGTCAGAGGTGACAGGTGACAGCTGTTGTTGCCAGATGTGGTCAGTCTGACTGATGTCACAGATCCAACAGACGAGTGAATCCCAGGTGTGAGCCAAGGTGAAAACCCCCTTGTCTGTGTTGATTGTCTGTGCGCCCCGCTTCCTGATTTCTTTTGTAATTATCCGCCAACGACAGCTGATAAGAGATGTGTCACACCATCATGTGTCACCTCTGACGAAGGCGGAACTATACAGTTGAAACATGTCAGATACTTTACATTTTTGTCTTATCAAAAGAACCTTCTAAACCTTAAACATAAGAATACAAAATTTACTTTTTAGATTTGGTTAGTTATTGGTTTGTGCATAGACATTGTGGTGCATTCAATAGCACTTCCTTGTTCTTAGGCCAACGATGATGAAGGAGGCCACAGCGACTCCACAGAGGGCCATGATGAAGACGACGAGATCTACGAGGGCGAGTACCAGGGCATCCCCAGGGCCGACTCCGGGAAGGGCAGCCTGGCTGGGGGTCCCGGGTCGGTGCAGGCGGGGGCGCAGCAGTTCACAGATATCGGCGTGTCGGAGGCCGAGAGGAGGAAGGACCAGGAGGAGCTGGCCCAACAGTACGAGACCATCCTGCAGGAGTGTGGCCACGGGAAGTTCCAGTGGACTCTGTACTTTGTGCTGGGGCTGGCGCTGATGGCGGACGGCGTGGAGATCTTTGTGGTGGGCTTCGTGTTGCCCAGTGCAGAGAGAGACATGTGTCTGTCTGAGCCCAACAAGAGCATGCTGGGTATGTGGCCAAACCTCATCTGTAATAATAATGACAAAGGATGCACTTAGTCAGATTTGTCAGGCACATATCGATCTGGATACGTTGGTTTCATCTGTTTTATCTACAGAGACTTTATACCAATCGCCCTTTACTAGAATATCTTTGTTAATGCTGTAGCAGTTCCAGGATTTTTTACCAGTTAGTAATCCATGTCATCGGACTTGTCAACACATTCTCCACTAAGGTATGCGTACATCAGTATTTTGGAATGATAATTTATTCATAGCAATGATTACCAACAACAAAGCTGTTTAAAGGAATGAAACAACATCATATTTCCTCTTTTGTAAACATCAGACCTCGACAAATTTTTATTAGACAGAATGGGACCACTTACTGTATTGTCTGCTTTGCCGAGTAAATGGCAGCCTTTGTCCTTTCAAACTGCATTTTTGTTATCTCATGTTAATACATTTTTTCCGACGCTTTTCAATTGGCAAGAGAAACTCCAGGTGGATCGGTTCAGCCGCCGCAGTGGAAACTCCATTTTAGCTGCATCCAGGCCGACCTCACTGCTATTGTGCTCCTATTTGTTTTATACATAATAGAGAAGCAGGTGATAGTGTCCAGCTGCTTTTGTCAACAGCAGAAAATAACCCCTGAGCTCTGAAGTCAAACACTGGACATTCAAAACATCAGAGAAAGAACCAGGAGCGACAGGGCTTTCAGTGTGAGGCAGCGTTTCAGTTTCTCTCTACTAAAACTGTATTGCGTTTTGAGTCACATTTGTTTAGTTTATATATCCCTTAAGTTGTGCAAAAAAAAAATGCAGTACAATATACAAACAGGACAAAACACCAGAACATCAGTCACACACTAAACAAACTTGCTCCATCGTCCTCCAAAAAAACCTAGACAGACTTTTAAACAAGAACAAATATATATATATATAAAAGGAAATAAAAACTTTGAGACACGTAACATAACAGAATTATACATATTTCAAGGGATGAGTAAAAATACAAAAAGGCAAACCTAAAAACATGAACAAGGAGTGGAAAAAAGGAGGATGTGAATGAGGACGAAGAATCTAAAAAACAAATGGATAAAGGTAAACTAGATAAACCAGGATGTAGCCAAACTAGACACAATTCAGACTCACTCAATCTTAGCACAAATTGAGTGAGTGTGAGGTTAAACAAGCCGAGTAAACTTTTCATTATTTAGTTCAGTGTTCCCCAACCCGTTTCAGTCCTGGCACACCATTTTCATTGAAAAAAATCTCACGGCACATCACCAGCTAAAACTCTGCAGCCTTTGATGAGAAAGAAAAGCAATTCTCATCAAAGTGAATTATATAGAAAATCAAACCAGGGCAAAAATATTCATTAATTCATTTGCCATTCATTATTCCATTTCTGGGTTGGGGGACTTCAGCGGGGGCTTCGGGCAATGTGGGGTTAAGTGTCTTGCCCAAGGACACAACAACAGTAGACTTTAGTGGGAGCAGTTGGAGTGGATCTCGTGGGGGGAACGAACCCACGACCTTCAAGTCCCAAAAGCCAATGCTCTGTCAAAAAATCTTTTCACATAATTTGGACCAATTAGATGGTATTGGCTAATTTCCAAAGACACACCGAGCAATGTCTCAAGTCACAAAAACTGATTGAAAAACACTGATTTGTTTACTCAATATTTTTTTTACATATTTGCATGAACCACAGCAAAAAGGGCAAAGGATGAAGTAAGTTTGCTCTCTCGTGTTTAATGATCAGCAATTTCTGTCCATGTACTTAGTTTTATTTGTGCAAGAGCCTAAGAATTACGAAAGGTTTATTACCGTTGCGTCACCAAGTCTCTTTTCAATCAGTTAGTTAATGCAAAGGGAATTTTAAGTATAGATAGCATAATATACACACACACACACACACACACACACACACACATAATCGTTGCTACAATCCTGCTTCTGCTCGTTGCGGTGCAGGTCTGATTGTGTATTTCGGGATGATGGTGGGGGCCTTCCTGTGGGGCGCTCTCGCAGACCGGATCGGGCGTCGCCAAGCCCTCCTCATCTCTCTGTCCATCAACAGCATCTTCTCCTTCTTCTCCTCCTTCGTTCAGGGATACAGCACCTTCCTGTTCTGCAGACTGCTCTCTGGAGTCGGGTAAAGACCAAAACTGTCATTCTTTAGAGTAATAGTTGTAATAGTGGTACGGGTTATGGTATTAAGTTCTTTCCCTTGTGGATCAATACAGTCTGTCTAAGTCTAATCAGAAAATAAGTCACACATTATATGATTGTATCTGTCTAAAATGTCTTAATTTGTGTTGCAGAATCGGTGGCTCTATCCCCATTGTGTTCTCCTACTACTCTGAGTTTTTGGCCCAAGAGAAACGTGGAGAGCACCTCAGCTGGCTCTGCATGTTTTGGATGATTGGAGGGATATACGCCTCCGCCATGGCCTGGGCCATTATCCCACATTACGGTGAGCTAACAAAGACCTCACTCCTGAATATTCTGTGATACGTCCGGTCTGAAGACACGTAATCATCTCCAGCCGTCACATCCTATTACTGTGAAAAAGAGCTATTTGTATCAACTCTTGGTTCTATTTAGATTAGATATCGTAGGTCAAGTTGCAGTTTATTTTTGCTGTAATTGATTTGAAATATTGGGTATATTGTGTGTAATGTGTGTAGTGTAATATGGGGACTCACTAAAATCTTAGTATATTAATCCGGGCCGAGGGAATATTCACATTTTGTTTCAATGTATTTGTTTCATTCAAATTTGTTCTTGAAAATCAGGTCAAGCTAAGGATTAATTTGGGTAAAGTTGGAAATATGCATGGGTAGGGTTAGGCTTGCTTTCTGTGGGACGAAATACCAAGATTTTAGAGAGTCCAATTAAATTTGGCCAATATTTATTTGAAATGGGTTTTAAGGGCGGCACGGTGGCTGAGTGGATAGCACTCTCGCCTCTCAGCAAGAAGGTCCTGGGTTCGAATCCCGGTAGGACCAGGGCCTTTCTGAGTGGAGTTTGCATGTTCTCCCCGTGTCTACGTAGGTTTCCTCCGGGTACTCCGGTTTCCCCTACCACTAAAAATATGTACAATAGGTCTGGCATGTGCCTCCTGTACTGGCGACCCCGCTCCCATCTCTGTGTGGAGTGAGAGACAAATGCCCAAGAATAACAATTGTAAACCACTTTGAGACTCCGATGTGCAGTGAAAAGCGGTATATAAATAAAGATTACTAAAGAAGACTACTAAATTACTAAATGTTTTCTGACTAACTTCAGGTGATTCGGTTCATTTTTTAGCGTGCGACAAAGACATTTTGTTTGTCTTCTATCCACGTTATAACAGCGCGATTGTATTATTTTTATAAGAGCCATATAGGAGCGATCACTTCCAGACACACATGGTCATGAAGGCTGTATCCGTCGCAGTCTCGTGCCGCTCTCTCTGGATCCATATCCGCTCTCTCTGGATCCATATCTGCCGTTTTATTCGACCTTGTGGTTCTAGACCCCACTGTGCAGACGACCACCGACCTCCCAGGAGGCGCCTTGAATTGCGTCACATGCGTTCACATTATGTATTGATTTTGGACTCAGACTCATGCATCAATATGACATGACTTAATGGCATTTCCAAAACATTGCTGGTTCCAGATATTGGCTTTTTGAGAAATCACAATATGCTATTTATAAAAGGTTAGCAGGTCTGTGATAACTGTGATTGTAAAATGGCACTGTTATTTCAGCCCAAAAACGGGAGAGATTTTCTTTAAAGAAGGATATATTTTTTGCTCATTGATAACTACATAGATTTTAACTTTGAAGGACACTTAATATGCAAAATCTAGAGTAAATAATCCACAATATTAGTAACTTTTGCCCAACAGCCCGTCTGTCTTAAAAGAAATCATGTCTTAAACTTGATACCATGATGAATCCTGAGTGATGTCAATGAAACAGCACCCTTTTTACATTTTTAGACAAACTTATTCATGATTGATTGATAAGATTTATTTCTATATATATTTATTGCAGAGAAAGCACAAGGATTTTACTACAAGGAACAATATCACTAAAAAAGTCAAAAGTCTATGATACATATGGTTTGCTGCTAGGGCAAAGAAAGATAGTACAACACGTATTTTTCTACCACCATAGATTGTGCTGTTTTTAGATTCTTATATAATTTTCTCTATTGTACATGTTTGTCTACATATTTTCTGAAGGAATAATTTCACCCTCTAAAACGTGAAAGTAAATATCGAAGATCAGGTTAAGGGCCAAAGTCTTGCTGTCCCTTCAGGATGGAGTTTCCAGATGGACTCGGCCTATCATTTCCACAGCTGGAGGGTCAATTTTTTATTTTTGTACTTGTCTTGTGCACACTGGGGACTTTTGCGAGTGTATTCCAATGTGGTTTTACTGTAAATGCCGAATAAATGAATCTGAATCGGAATGAAAGTCTCGCTGTCCCCCCAGGATGGAGTTTCCAGATGGGCTCGGCCTATCAGTTCCACAGCTGGAGGGTATTTGTGCTGGTGGCCGCGTTCCCGTCTGTGGCAGCCATCGCGGCCCTGAGCGTGATGCCCGAGAGCCCGCGCTTCTACCTGGAGGTCAGCGCTCCACACACCAGCTCCATAACAACTTCTGAATACTGTCATTCGTGAGATCATACCTGAGTGTTGTGTCTAAACAGAACGGGAAGCACGACGAAGGCTGGATGATTCTGAAACAGGTCCACGATACGAACATGCGAGCCAAGGGCTACCCGGAGAAGGTCTTCTCTGTGAGTATTGGACGTGTCTAAAGTTAAACAGTTATCACTTAAAGCTGGAGTATATAACTTTGAAATCACAAAAAGTCCTAAATAAAAAAATCTATTTCTTGCTCTCACTACAATTTGGTTCTCCCAGTAGTTGCATGTATTTTGGCCTCAGTCACATCTTTAATTTAGCTTTTACAGACAGAAAAGTGAAAAAGAGAGAACCACCCTCACTCAGCCAATCAGCTCTCAGCCCAAGCATCACATACTGACTCCCAGGGGTCTCTGTGGTTTGATTTGTTCACAATGATCATTTACAAGGCTCTATTTTGGGTTGCAGAAATAATATATTGTATATGAGAAATTCAGGTGTCCAGTAGCAGCAGAAACACATCCATCCATACAAACAAAACAAATAGATCATTCTAAAAGTAGATAACAATAGTAGTAGTGTTAAAACCGTATACTGTAGATCACAGCAGCAGAGGTGGAGTAGCTGTTTGGTTTGGACCATTTTCTCTGCTCTGGTCCAAAGTGAAAAAGGCTTTATTAGCATTCTCCAGTGGATTTTTTCCTAATCCGCTTGTTTCGGACCATGTGTGTCCGGTCTGGACCAGTGCAAAACCATGAACACTGTACTGCAGCAACAACTCAGGTAGAAAAAAAAGCAAGAAAAAAACAATTGTAGAGCACGAAACAACAGTTTCAGAGTTACTTAGGACTTTCTGCCGTTTCCAATCAAAAGAGGTGGTGCCCCAACTTCAGAATATCCTGAATCCACACATGCATCTTATAACTTAACATCTGAGGATTACAAACACAAGTGAGATTGTTATCGGTCTGTTATTCTTCATTACGGTGTTGTTTTTGAGCACTCAGGAGACAGTCTTAAAACCGTGAGTGTTGTGATGACTGGAGTGTTCCCTCAGGTCACCACCATTAAGACGGTGAAGCAGATGGACGAGCTGGTGGACACGGGCACCGACACTCCAGTCTGGCAACGCTACCGCCTCAAGATCACCAGTCTGTCCCACCAGGTCAGAGCAACCATGTGACTGTCTGCTGAAAATGCAACATTCATTCATTGCCTTTTTTGTGTGGAAAATGGAATGGGAACATCTCTTTAGTCCTGAGAAAGTAGCTCCCCGGGTGAAAAAAGTTGGAGACCCCTACCCTATATGGACTTTTAAACTTGGTCGGGTCTGATCAGCATAGTGGTAACTGAGTAACGACCACAAGATCTACATTCATATATTTTATGTCTTTTATTGAAATATATTTTGCTCTAACTTATGTTTTAATTGTGATTTTTCTTTGACTGAAACCACTGCGGATAATAGTTTGCAGGTGGCTAGTTATGGCTTCTTGAAAGAGTGCTAACTAGCCACCTGCTAACTTTTATCCAACTATGGACAACTAATGGAGATTTTTTTTTCCGAATATGGAAGCTCTGCCCACTTTGCAGCTCCATATATGTGTATTTGTTTTCTCCCAAGCTTGGTGGGCACAATTAATGTATTCAACTTTTTGGGTCTGGGAGAAGTCATATTTTTGCAATTAAAGAAACTAGTGCTACTGAAGAAAGTATGCCGGGGTCTGGGGTTGTCGTGTTCAGGCACAGAAGACTTTTTATTGATGTTACAAAGCGACACGACCAAAGATCTTTCAGCTTGCATGTGATTTTATACCAGATCCATCAAAGACGCTCATCTGCCATTGCACCAATAGTCATGCTAGTTCAACCTTCAGAACCAAAACATCAAGTGGAAAATCTCCAGCTTCTGCACACTGTCCTAATTATGACCGGCTTTAACCACCCGCCTTAGAGATTAAAATTAAAAGGAAAATACCCTTAATTTGGGTCTAAAAGCGTCTAAATCCAGGGCTGGCCAAGGTAGGAAAAACCATAACTAGCCAGCTGTAGAAAAAAAAACATTATTTAGGGTATTTTTAAATCACTGTGGTGGGTAAATTTGACAGCACAAATGGGTTAAGATGTTCTTTATGTAACTTGTTGTCATAATTACCACTGGTGCCTCGTCCTCCTTGCCGCGTTCAGCACAGTACCATCGATAAGCATTGATTATTTCTGGTTAATTGAGACGGCTCCTTCTTGAATCACATGGACACTCTACATTCTGCAGAACCGCCCGTGTTTCTGCAACATGTAGAACTAGTGACTAAAGAAACGCGTGGTGTGCGTGGTTTACTTGTTGCGATTAAAGATTAATAGAGCGTGGGAGTAAATCGTGTTGGGTAAAAAGTAGTTTCAGCATCTCTCCTCAGAGCTGTTGTGTTTTCTCTTTGATGGTAATTTGTTTTCAGGCTACGCTCTCCCACCGTACACGCCCACATCTTCTACACGGATGTATCAATCTGTCATAATGAGGTAGAAAAGAGAGTTTAACAATATCTTAACGTTTAATAAAAACTTTTGTCAATGTGGAAAATCACTCACTTTAGACCCCTCACACTCCCGATATTTTTTCTCTAGAATTAAATCTGTAATATGTACCGACAATTTATGTAGTTCACACAAATGGCCGGACTATTAGAGTACCTATAGCCCTGTAGTTTTGGCCTCTGATGACATGTTTACTCCAATGATTAGTAAGTAAGTAAGTAAGTAAGTAAGCTTTTTATTTATATACCGCCTTTTCACTGCACATCGGAGTCTCAAAGCGGTTTACAATTGTTATTTTTTTGGGAGTGGGGGTGCCAGTACAGGAGGCACATGCCATACCTATTGTACATATTTTTTGTGGTAGGGGAAACCGGAGCACCCGGAGGAAACCTACGTAGACACGGGGAGAACATGCAAACTCCACTCAGAAAGGCCCTGGTCCAACCGGGATTTGAACCCAGGACCTTCTTGCTGAGAGGCGAGAGTGCTATCCACTCAGCCACCGTGCCGCCCTTGTTAGTGAGAACAATCTCTGCACAGACAGTGATTAAACTCCAAAGTCCATCAGGTTCTTTGGTAAATATAAAGAAGGGTAATGGCTGGTGACTTTTTGTTGGGTCTAATTGACTGAAGAATGACCAATTTTAGTTTCTGAACAGTTACCCTTTTCCAGCGCAAGCAAATATCACAAAAAAATTGATTTATTGAACTGAAATAATGTGTTTATTATTTTCTATATATATATGATTTATTTTATATATTTATAAAATAAATCATGTTTAGGTGCAGGATATACAGTGTATATGTACAGTGTACCAACAGTGGAAAAGGTAGAAAACTTATTTACACTATATTTACTTCTAAATTTGGAGTTCAAGTTCATTCCACAATGTTTTGATTTTACTGGAAATAGAAGGGACCGTGCAGATGTGGGAGGGTCTAAGGGCAGTACTGATCCGACATTGGTCCTCCTGCTCCCTAATGGACCAATGGCTCTCATGCGTTTGTTATTATTGTTTGTATTCGACAACTTTGTGAATCCCTCCGAGACGACGCTGTTGTGATTGAGGGCTGTGCAAAATCAAACTGAATTGAATTAATCGAGAGGCTGTCAAAAACGTTGAGGAACTGTAACGAGTTCTTACATCATTCTGTCAACTTTGCAGATTCGTAACAACATCTTGGCCTGCTTCAACCCGGAATACAAACGCACAACTTTCATGCTGATGGCTGTGTGGTTCAGCATGTCCTTCAGGTATGATCCATATTGGAATAAGCCTTTTCCTTATAACCGTTACATCTCATAGTTTCATTTTTGTTTGTGTTCAGCTATTACGGTTTGACTGTGTGGTTCCCGGACATGATCAAATACATCCAGAAACAAGAGTACGAGTCGCGCACTAGAACCTTCACCAGAGAACGAGTGGAGCATGTGACCTTCAACTTCACGCTGGAAAACCAAATCCACCGTCAGGGATACTACTTCAACGACAAGTGAGTGGGACCAGAGCTAAACCAACCCGCTGTATTAGAAATGATACACGTTATAATTCATATTTTGAGGTATTAAGTTGATAAGTTGATAGATGGATGGATTGATGGATAAACCGTGTTGGGTAGAATACTTTGAAAATGTATTCCGTTCCAGAATATTCATTTATACTTTGAATGAATGTTATTTTAATAGTTCATTTTTATTGTAAATGAATGTTTATCAATACATGTTTAAATATTTTATTTTTTTTGTGAGACAAGTCAAAGTGATTCAGCCTTTTAACAACCAGAAAAAATAGAATCTTCACAATATCTTTTTTTAACCTTGAAAACGTAGCGTGAAAAAGTCTGAATTCCAGTGATTTCCAGAAAGTAACTAGACTTTAAAGTAGTAACTGTAATGGGATGCAGTTACTGAGAAAGAGTATTCTGAATATGTAACGCAATACATCATTTTCTGTAACTCCCCAACACTGGATAAATACATATTTTCATTATCACACCAGGGGAACTAATCAGTTAGCATCAGTAGCCACAAGTGTAGGAACTTACCTGCCTTTTTTACTCTTCAGACCACTAATCGCACAGTTTTGCAGTTTTTTGTTTAGTAAAAGTAGCTGTCAAGGGAAAAGTGTTGGACTCAAAGATCAGTGCGATAATGAACTTGTCTAATTTTGTCTGAAAATGTGGCAGGTTTCTGAATTTGAAGATGAAATCGATGGTGTTTGAGGATTCTGTGTTCGAAGAGTGCTACTTTGAGGACATCACATCCACGCACACTTTCTTTAGGAACTGCACCTTCATCGCCAGCTTATTCTACAACACAGGTAACGCTCAAAATGTATTCACTCAAACATGATATGAACGTAAAGACAGTGTAATATACTGCTCCTTTGTTTATTACCAAGACATGGAAAGCTGAAGCGGTTTAACATGGCTGAAACTGTCCGGACAGTTTTGAATAGTGTCACTATAGACTGCCTCCAGGATCCGGCAACAGATAGAGTAGAAGAAAATAGATGTTCAGATCGATATAGATCCCACGAAGGTACATTTTAGTGCCATCGATACAGACAACAGTGGTAGCATCCATCCATCCATCCATTTTCTTCCCCTTAATCCATTTCTGGGTCGGGGGGGTGGCAGTCAGAGCTGCACCCAGTCCACTTAGCACCAGCCCCTCACTGATCCTCCTGCAGGTGGTGAGTCCACAGGAGCTGAGATCTTTCAGTGGGGGCTTCGGGCAAAGTGGGGTTAAGTGTCTTGCCCAAGGACACAACGACAGCAGTCATCAGTGGGAGTCGTGAAGTAGGTCTTACGGTGGGCTCGAACCCACAACCTTCAGGCCCAAAGGCCAATGCTCTACCAACTGAGCCACTGTCGCCACAGTGGTAGCATTGTTCTTTAAATTCTTAGACAATTGAAAAAGTGCATTAAAATAACACATACCATTTATATTTGTACGTTTCAAGTTTTTGATGAGAAAACCTGTTTTGTCTGGAAACAATCCAGTGGCTTCATCTGTTAAAACTCTGTCTTCACAGACCATTCATCACACTACACATCTAATTGATCCGTTAGATGGATAATCACTGGACTAACTGAATCCTGAAGTCCTTTTGGATTCACGCTGTTAAGAATTGAAGCTTATTGAATGTTGGCTGATCATTTCTCACTTTAGCCCACGCTGTCATTGAAAACATACTTCTTACAGCCACAGCAGAGATTTGAAATAGTATTTATTTATTTCTATGATCTGATGAAAGTGTGTGGTTTTAGCGCTGCGGTTGTTTGGTTTGTCTGTTTTCTCTGCGAGGTTCAAACAATGAAAGGTTACCATGGTAACATGTGTTAGTCATCTCCACGGTGATGTTACAGCAAGATCAAATGTGTGAATCCAACAGAGATCACATGTCTGCAGAATATTCACAGAATATTAATATTAACATAGTACGGTTACATCCACATGAAAGAAACATTTCTACACGACATATACCAAACTGTTCATGTACTGCACCCCAGCCTCTTTTGTGTGTACAGTGTAGTGTACAGCAGTATATACAGTATAGTGTACAGCAGTATATACAGTATAGTGTACAGCAGTATATACAGTATAGAGCACAGTAGTACATACAGTATAGTGTACAGTAGTATATACAGTAAAGTGTACAGTAGTATATACAGTATTGTGTACAGTAGTATATACAGTATAGTGTACAGTAGTACATACAGTATAGTGTACAGCAGTATATACAGTATAGTGTACAGCAGTATATACAGTATAGTGTACAGTAGTACTTACAGTATAGTGTACAGCAGTATATACAGTATAGTGTACAGCAGTATATACAGTACAGTGTACAGCAGTACATACAGTATAATGTACAGCAGTATATACAGTATAGTGTACAGCAGTATATACAGTATAGTGTACAGTAGTACATACAGTATAATGTACAGTAGTACATACAGTATAGTGTACAGCAGTATATACAGTATAGTGTACAGCAGTACATATATACAGTATAGTGTACAGCAGTATATACAGTATAATGTACAGTAGTACATACAGTATAGTGTACAGCAGTATATACAGTATAGTGTACAGCAGTACATATATACAGTATAGTGTACAGCAGTATATACAGTCTAGTGTACAGCAGTACATACAGTGTTGTGATCTGACATTAACGTTGTTTTGGGTAAACATTTACAGTACAGTTGTTTTCCTGACCATCCTTTTGTGTGTTACAGTACATTAAAGTGCCACAGCAGCAGGATGAGGTTTTAAAAGAATAACAATGTCACCAAACACTAAATCCTTTCTGTTTTCTTCTCCCAGATTTATTCAAATACAGGTTTGTCAACTCCAAACTTGTGAACAGCTCCTTCATCCACAACAAAGAAGGCTGCATATTGGACTTCAGCGATGACTTCAACAATGCCTACATGATTTATTTTGTCAACTTTCTTGGCACCCTGGCCGTGTTGCCTGGCAACATCGTCTCTGCACTACTAATGGACAAAATTGGTCGTTTAAGAATGCTGGGTGGGTAAATGTGATCAGACAGCTCAGTTTGTTTCCAGATGGAGACGGATTGTTTTGAAATGGTCTTTTTGTCTCCGCAGCGGGGTCCAGTGTCATCTCCTGTGTCAGCTGCTTCTTCCTGATGTTTGGGAACACAGAGTCAGGGATGATCGCCCTCTTGTGTTTGTTTGGAGGTATTAGCATCGCATCCTGGAACGCCTTGGATGTCCTCACAGTGGAGCTCTACCCTTCAGACAAAAGGTAGAGTCCTTATGGTCACATTTACACACATCACATCACATCTGCAATCAAGATGAACAGTAACGTTTAGTTTGATCAATACTGTGCAACACATGGGACAGAGTAGAGACTTTATAGGAGTCTGTTTGCTGTTTTTGGACAAGGTTGTCTCGTTGGGTTCAACAAACCAGGACTTCCATTATGCCCATAAGCGCCTAGTCAGTTCCCTCAAACCCGAGACCACGGTGCATGACCTGAAAAAGGTGCATTCCTCAAGAGGAGGAGTTCAAGTATCTCAGGGTCTTGTTCACAAATTAGAGAAGGGTGCAGCTTGTGCAGCGATGTGGTCACTGTATCAGATTGTGGTTAAGAGGGAGCAGAGTCTAAAGGCAAAGCTCTTGATTTACCGGTAAATCTACAGCCCCTCGTTCACCTACGGCCCCAGGCTTTGGGTTTCACTGCTCCTCCATGTTGAGAAGAGCCAGTTGAGGTGTTCCTCCTGGATCGTCTCCGGATCCTCTGGATGAGCTGAGTGTTTAGAGAGGGAATTCTAGGTGTCTAAGCTTAAACTGCGGCCATCTTTACCTGGCAATAGATAAAAGTGTTAAAAAGGATGAAAGGATGTACGTAACAATTATGTACTTTGCTTCATATATTCAGTTTTATTATTAAATCAGAAGAATCTGTTCCTGTTCATTACAAGTTACTCATAGTGCTATCCAGTGGCACCAATGGGACTGTTTGGAAGACTGCAGGGCATCTGCATACCACATTTTATGTTAAAATCAAAGCAGTATTATTTGAAACCTTTGTGTTGTTCCATAATTAAGTGCCGTTTTCCTGGCTGAGCCAAAATCATTATTTGCTTGCCCACCCTGCAGTGATGTATTGGGTCTTCTGTAGAGTCTGGCACAGGGACAAAGCTGTTAAATCGTGTCTTGTAAAAGTGATATTGATTTCTGTGTGCCTGAGACACTTTCAGAGGCTGAAAGAATGGACTGTGATTGTTCCTTTGACACACACTCATGTCTTAATGCTTACAGTGTAGTCACAGAAGCCTGGATTGTCTCTGCTCTCCCCTCATGTGTATGTGATTTACTTACTGTACGCTGAGGTTATGACTTCTGTTCATGTGTGTGTCCAGGACCACAGCGTTTGGCTTCTTGAATGCTCTCTGCAAACTCGCAGCCGTTTTGGGCATCAGCATTTTCCAGTCGTTTGTGGGCATCACCAAAGCCGTGCCCATCTTGTTTGCGGCCGGTGCGCTCGCCGCCGGCAGCTTCCTCGCCACAAAGCTTCCTGAAACAAGAGGCCAGGTGTTACAGTAAAAACCAACATGAGCCCAAGATGACGGGCCACTTACAGCGACCACAGCCTTTGGACATCTGAGAGAGCTGCCCTTCATCGAACCAGAGCAGAAGACTGCCACCTCCCATTGTAAGCCCAGAATCCTTTGAAATGTTCATCAATTCATTTATGAGATTGTATTGGACGAGCCCACATATCTCTGCTGTCAAAATGAAGACTTTATTTTAGCTGCGCAAATGTTTGAAGGCCAGATATTGTGAGCTGCTTGAATAAACTGTTCATTTCTGGAAGCATTTTGGAAAGAAGTGAAGGTTTGGACTGACTCAAGCCATTGGAAGAGAGCGCTCGGTTAAGACACAAATATGATTGAAATATTATGATCCTGACTTGTCTCTGGTTTACAGTGCTGCTGTAAAATGTTAATTATGTACAAATGAGGGTGAGGTTCTTCTGACATCTCCTTGACTGTTTACCACTGCTTGAGTTTACAAAAACACAATTAAGACATTCCACATAGGCTTAATATGATTAAGAAATAATGATTTAATGTATGGTCCCTTCTATGTACATCTCTAATGTTTACATTCATCTAAAACCTCAATGATTAATTTCACAGGATTCTCTGTCCTAAATGGGAACTTGTTTGTGTTTCGTGTCGTCAAATGTCGTCTCTTCCTCCTGTCTGACGCTGTGGCAGTGTGAAATACGTAGGACTGTTGGAGGTTATGCTTGATGTGTGTGTCCTGTTGCATGGATGAAGAAAGTCCTAAATGTCCCCATCATTCCCCACAACAATGTATATGACTATTATAATGGAACTAAAGCTATTATAAGGCCAATATCAAGAGGATATGCTCAACAGAGCCACGGAGCCACTGTGGCTTGTTAACTATCAAAGAACTCCAGCTATTCCCATAGAGCCAAGCCATCTATGCTAACTAGCTGACATTTTTAACAGAGATTAAAAATGTCTCAGAGTTGAAACAGTAGCTTGTTAGCTCACTCAGGTGTAATTAATTATGGTTAGCAAAAATGCATTCAATGATATCAATTGTTTTGAAACATTTTAGCCTTAATAATGAGTGAGAGTTTCACGCACAAGCTTGTTCTGCTGAGTTTTCAAAACATCAAATTAACTTGAGATTAGTCTGGATGTTTTTATTTTTGTTACTTTTATAGCTTTCTTCTAAAATGGCACATTCCAAAGTCAGACATGATTGTAAGCGATTCATCGAAGCACAAATTTAGCCAATTTGAGGATGACTAACGAGTCTTCTGATTTCAATTGTAGCACAACATGAAACGGAACTAAACGAAACATATGAAAGGGCTGATTCTGAGAGCTGCATTCTTGCAAGGCGTACTAATTCCAAAAGGGAAATATCTCATTGATTGGGTCAGTAATGGGTGCCATTCTTCCACATATCACGCCTTAGTATGATTTCCCCAAAGGTGTACATCTGTGTGCTGACAATCAATGTGTGCGTTTGTTTGTGTCGCCTGTGGTTCAAATGCTGGATGGATGTGTGTGACCGACAGACGTCCTACTGCATGGTTGATCAAAAGTGAATTTGTTGTCATTCGCTAACTCAATTTAGACCACGTAGGCTAATGATGGAAGTCATTAGTCTTAGGGCCATAACCGATTGCCTATGCAAAATATAGGAAGTAGAAGACAAGAATGTTTTCTCCATATTATTGCTACTTCTTATCCACTTTTTGGGCATGCTCGTGTGACTAGAAAGAAGAGGCAGAGGGAGCAGAGGGAGGTGCAGAAGTTTATAAAGATAGATATATATATAGTATATTTATGCCACATGATCCCCTAGTTTGGTAAAGGGAACGCAGACTGAGTGTAGCACTAGCTCAGGAGTCCCCCTAGTGGCTGAACTGCTACAACCACTGGTCTGAATTGACTTTTGTGAAGAAGCAACAAAATCTCAGCTACTGTTTTTCAGCCTTGTCCTCGATGTCTTTGTGACCCCTCTCCTCACATCGAGGAGATTCGAGCTGAAATTGCTTGTTTGTGCCAATACTACACAAGCATATTACAGCTTCTCGTTTTAAGTCTGGATGCTTTGAGTTTAATGTATATTACTCAAAACACACATTTTGTACTTTTATTTGTTGCCGTATTTCCATCCCTTGTGATGGTAAATACGGATTTCGGGGACCAGATGATGTCTTGAAGGGAGTACGCAATATACAGTATGCAGTGTCAACTCCATTTCAGCTCTTTTGCTGACTACATTGTCTTTAATATTTTGTCCCATTCAAAGACAATGGACCTCAGTCATAGTTTTGAATGCTTACACTTTCCTCAGTTGTAAAAAACAGGACAAAACTGACCCAAAACTCACTCCTTTTTGAACCTTCTGTACTCTGTGACGCATGTTTGTAAATGTATTGTCTGACTTCTTCTTGGACGTCCTGTATGCCAGCTGTTTTTGTCGAAAAAGCAAAGAACTAGTGTTTTTCATGTTGTACGACAACAGAGATGTTGCTTGCAGTGATTGTTCTTAATCAAAAGTGGGTGATAAAAATTTGGTAAAAACTTTGAGTATGTGTACTGAGAGTTAGTGACTGTGCTCCTCGTCAACCCCAGACCCAAATACTATAAATATATATATACTTATAAATATATATTTGCTTGAAGTTATATAAGAAGGGTTTAACGTGCAATTTGTCTCCAAGTAAAGGAGGCTGTACAAAACGTAACAGTGCATTGGTCAAAAGGGAAGTGATAGCAATAAGGTAAAGCTTCCCTTATGTGCTAGAAGTGAAAGTCGGGGCAGATTAAACTCAAGGAGCGCCCTCAGGTCAAACGGAAGCTCTTGTCCAAAATGTACAAGTTTATTATTCAATGTGACTGTAAAGTTTAAATTCTATATAAATATATGTATAGATCAAAATGGTAAATGGATATGAGATGAGTTTCCCCTGTAACAATGACAGTGATTAGCAAACGCCAGCCTGCAGAGGACTGTCCCACATTAATCCTTCAAAATAAAGAGTCTTCAAGTGTGGATCCTTCCTGTCGTTGGACTGAGAGTTTACAGCTGCATTTCCTTTAGTTTGACTCAAACCGTTTATTCAGACTGTACTGTGTGTAGAAACTCTAGATGTTTGTACGTGAAGTATGGCATTCGTGGAACAAAAGATCAAGGAAAACCACTTCCAAAAAAGCTCAATATGGCACATGATCTATTGTGTATCGTCTTTGTGTTTTGTAAATGAAGACTGAATTTCTTGGTATTTTCAGTATTTATTATTTGGATATTGAATTTTTTTTAGTGATGCTGAAAAGGTGCTGTATTTTATGTGAGTTGTTCTTTACGCTGGGGTTTGCACTTGGTGCCATTTATCCAGTTCAATGAAGAAAACTATAAACCATATGGAAATAAAATTTAAGCTCCATCTGCAATGTATTTTCACTCTCCTTTTTAGACACCAGTTTAGACAAAACATCTTGGAATCACATGGTTGGGAAACACGCATACAGAGCAATGCCACAGAGGTTCTTCTTGTTCCTGGACATCTTGATGTAGCCGCCTTCTCCATATCCAGTGCCCCAACTGCTCAGAAAATATACAAAAAGCGTTTAAAAGTGAGAATTTTTGTTCAAGATAAAATATTTCGACCCAAACCTGTTTTTGACCAGCCAATAGTCCTTTCCCTCCTCAGTCCCGTAGCCCACGACCAGCGCTCCATGGTTGACTGTATGAGAGCAGAGCTTGTCCTTGTACACACCTGAAAAGACATTGCAAACTTGTTCATACACGATGCATGTTAAATGGAATCAAAATTGACTTCTTAATACAATACAACACAACAGTTTGCTAATATTTTCTCCTTATGTGCTTACCACTTTTATAGAAAACAAACTTGGGTCTTGACGCATCTATAGCCACAGAAATCGGGCCGATAGTTGCTACAGCCATCTTCAAAGCATCGTCATCTCCACGTGGAAGAAAAGTGTAGCCAGTGCAGTTCGCCGCCTTAAAGTCCGGGTTGTACTTGCAGTGACCACGCTAAAAACAAACACAACTTACTTACTGTTAAATGATAAAAAAACAAAAACAAAATACGCCTGTGACTCAAGCCTCACCTTGCCATGATACGGATAAGAGTTGTCCGCAGCTATGCCCTGGTTTTTGATGACGTATTTAAAAGCGTGAGACATGAAGCCGCCCGCACAGCCGTGGTTGCCGTACTTGGTGGAGCAGTCGACCAGGTTTTGAGTGCTCAGAGACATCAGGACCCCGGTGTGCTTCTTCAGCTGCCCTTCCAGAGCCCCGGCTGCACTGAAGGCCCAGCAGGAGCCACACGAGCCCTGAAACCGAAGGGACAAAGGGCCTAAAAGGTGAAGAGAAGCTGAGAGCACTTTGAATGGACGCTTGTGGTGAGGCCCACGCTGCTCTTTCATAACGGAATATTCAACCTGCGATCGTTTTTCTATTGGAGTTTGCGCTAAAATAAATAAGCATGTGGGGTACCAAACTTTCTTCCAAGAAATCTGACAAAAAAAGTGTTCCGCAGCTTTAAGACTCCTCCAAATTTCCTCCAATAAATTAGACAAGTACTGTGTCTTTCTTTTGAGTGTCTCTGGAAACAAAAAAACAAAAGTCCTCAGATTGACTTCAACATTCAAAGTTTCCACAGGTTTTATGTTTACAATTGTATTCACCTTGGTTAGCTTCAAAATCAGGTCCTGGTTTAGAATCCTGGTCGGAAGAGGGCCTTTCTGAGTGGAGTTTGCATTAAAGTTTCCTCTGGGTGCTCCTGTTTTCAGTACCTACTGTTATGAAAGCATGTGAAATAACCTCCAGCTCTGGTAGTCCTGGCCAAGAATCTCTGGAGATGGAGACGAGACCAGTGCCTCTGACAGAGGCCCTTGTGGCATTGGAAGGATGGGTTAAATTTCTCTACAGGGACAAATGACTTTTTTCAAAAAAGCTCATCGCCAAAGAGGGAGATTTTGGGACATTTGCACTGAAGACTGTCAATAGAAATATTTGAAAACCCTAATCATGTGAAAGATTTTATGGGATTAGTGAAAAGTGCAGTAGTCAGCAGGACACATTGTTGCATGATTTCTCAGACTATTTCAACTATGAACATTCGCTCCTCAAAGAAAGCAAGGCCCTTTTTTTCCATTATTTATTTTCCAAGATGTAGGAGCACTAATAACACCTTTTTTAAATCATGGTTGAGATGCAGTTTGATGGTAAAAGTGCCTAAAAACCAAGAGAGACACCCCAGACAGCTATTGTTCCAAGCTTAAAATAGATATATTGACTCAAAAAGGTCAAAGTGGATCCACCAAACATTGTAGATTATGTATTATAAAAAGGTGATCAAATACAGAACATTAGCTTTGCATTTAGCTTGAGGGTAAAGCTTTATGTGTTCTCTCTAACCAATGTGGGAAAACCTATATGTGTGCAGAACCCAAAATCCTTTAACATTTCACCTCAGACTGTGAAAAAACACCCATTGTTGCATTATTTAGAGAGATTTCCTGACCTGTGTCTTGACCCCAGTCACCAGTCCCTTCTTCCTCCAGTCCACAGACGCAGGCAGAGACACATTCACCACATTCAGGTTGAAGGGACCTCTCTCCAGATCCGACGGTACTTTCAGACCAGTCCAGTTACTTCGGATCTCATTCAATGTCTAGAAAGAAACTCTGTTAATCCCTAATTGTAAAGAATACTTTTTTTTATTATCTGGATGCCACACTCACCAAGTCTCCAAAGTGATTAATGCCCATTTCAAAAGAGTGCATACCCAGGGTGGCCTCCAGATTATGGAGGTTAATCAGCTCCAAATTGTCTTCCCATATTCTCCGACGGCCCAGCTCCTCAACCTGACAAACAGAGGAATTTTGAACCCTAAATTTTTAACTCATAACGGACATATTTTAACTATTTGAAGTCTACCTGGTGAGAGTAGGCCTTGCTGTGCTTTTTCTTCCACAGATTCCAATGTTTGTCTAGACTCATTTTGACGTTGGCCGACGTTAATCCAATCCACACCAGCATGAGAGAAAGCAGAAGTTGAAGCATTTTAAGGTGATAAACAAACAAAAAGATGCTATTTTTGGGAAATGTGTGCGATTGTTGAGAGCAGGGCTCGTGTGGTGCTCTGCTCTGCACGGATCAGCAGCTGAAGGCAATGAGGAGGATGAGAGCAGCCAATTATCCCCAGGAGGAAGCATTAGACCGGGAATATTCTGGAAAAGTAAAGTTCCAACAACTTCTCACCAGTCGGAAAATAAAGGCATATTATTTATTTTATTCATTTATTTATTTGAGCATCTGTCAAAACATGCAAGACTTTAAACTGGCATTTACAAAAAATCAAAAATACAAATATTGACAAAAACTAATCCTACGCCTCTTGAATGATCTATTTTGTTTATTTGCATGATCTTTCTGGAATGTTTTAAATACATAATTAGCTTCACTATGTATTACAACATATAGTCAGCTGTTAAACATCCACAACTGTTTGTATGAAAGCAACACAACCACATCTACACAATGTAAGCGACACAATTTACTACAATTTACACAATTTATGCAATATATTCAAATATTGCATAAAAATGTCTTCCCAATTACCACTAGAACTCTCAGAGCAGTCAATTTGTCGGCTTTTTGTTTGTACCCTGCTAATGTATGTTTTTGGACTTCATAACTTTGTGACTTCTTCTGTTTTTATATGCAGTTGTATCAATGTAATTATGTTTATGAAACGATCTCGATCCTAGACCTGGTCCTGGACTGGTTCAGGGCAATCTCAGCTTGGAGCGAGTTCTGGTTACCATAGCAACACACTGTCTACTTCCAGCAGGTAGTATTTAGTTTTGGTGTATTTCAGTTATGTATTTATTTATTTTTATTTTATTCGTATAAAAGAAAAACATCTGAATTAATTATAACAAAAGAAGAGAAAAACTAAACATGTTTTTGGAGGTTTTTTTTCCAGAATTCCAGTTGGGAGTCCTGGAGTTAATTGCACAGAATAATAATAATTTTTAAAAAGTGTCGTTGCTGTAAGAGGGTGATCGCCACAAACCTAATTATTGTCAGTTTATCTAAAAAAGTAAAGGGTAAGGAGTGCTGCGTGGTACAAGCGTGTAAAGTTATTTAAAAGACCAGGTTCTCAATTGAAAGAGGGGTTTAACTAAAAAAGGAGTTTTGACTTTCCAGGTAAAGGCAAATTATGAAGATCTAGAAAATCAAAATATCCAAGGCACTCGTGGTCACTTGTTTAGAGAGTTTAAAAAGCCTTTATTTTCTCATGGCTGTAATTTCAAAAACACACCAACGCATTTCAGCCTAGCTTGGCCTTCTTTTTTTTTTGCATCCTGAAGGAGGCCAAGCTATTAGTTCATATTGCTCCCCTATATCTCCATTTTTAATTCAATAAAGTAACACAAAACACATCTGAAGTTACACATTTGTCATATAAATTAATACATTATTCTTTTGGTCCAAATGACAGAGACAGCACTCTTTTAAACATATAATCTGGTCTAATACAAGCGTTTATTGATTTTATGAACCTTTGGACAGAGAAGCCTCAAATTATTATTGAATTGATATTTTTCATGAGCGCCCACAACGGCAGAGTAAAGCAGTAAAAAAACAGGTTTACAGTTGCATTTCTACAATTACAAAACTAAATGATTAAAATATGAAAGTGGCACCAGTGTCCAATTTGGCAACAGTTTGACGCTTTGAAAGGAATCACGTTTTTGAGATGGAAAATGTTTTTCTCTAAATTCAGTTTTTGTACAAACAGTTTCATTCTGGTTCTGTGATCTCGTGTTCAGAGAGAGTTGCTCAAATATGTTCACTAATGAGGCAGTTATGACTATTCTTTTATAATTTTTTTTTTTTTTCCTTTGAGGCATTTTTGTGGTTGATTTTGTGTTGATTTTGTCTTTTGAGTTTGTGGAAATGTCTTGTATTTATTTATTTATATATATATATTTATTATTATTTTGACAGTAGGTTTACATAATCATTTCTGGTCATTTTTCTCTCAAAACAAATGAGTAGTTTATGCTCAGATTGAACCAAAAAAACCAAAAAACTTTCATTTTATTAAACGTAATACAATGTTGCTCTGTTCTAATCTCTGTTCATGATTAACAGAGATCAATGGCCGTGAATGAAACTTAGCTTTTTAATACTTTTAAAGACACATACAGTACATGCATCCAAATGTATTACATATGTACAGACTGTCTTTTACTAATAACAATCGTGAGGCTGATTTCTTCCTGGATTCAAAAACACATACAAAGCCCAGACACAGACGCAACCAATAGGATTTATATATTCATTCCTAAAGGGTTCTTAAATGGTTGGATAAAGAGGAAGACTCGCAATTCCACATGTGTTTTTGGCGTTACGGGCGATCCGGATGTAGCCGCTCTCTCCCCACGACGATCCCCAACTGAAAATACAAACACATTTTTTTGTAAGTCTCTTTTACTCACAATCTATTCATTCCTTTTTTCACTCTTACCTGTTTTTGACCAGCCAGTAGTCCTGCCCCTTGTCTGTGCCGTAGCCCACAATAAGAACGGCATGATTTATTGAATTAGGGTTGCATTTGGGGTCACTGTAAATACCTAAAAGAAGGAAAAGAATGTTTACTATTGTATTCTAGAATTTGTCATTTATACATACTGTACTCTACTCTTACTTTGACCAGACGTTGCATTATATTAGACCTATAGGCAATCAAAGAACAACTTAACCAATGTCATGTTGATCAATTACGGGGCGTGACAAATGCTTAAATTATTATTACTTATTAAACCCAAACTGGACTGAAAAAATGAAAAAATACTGAAATGTGCGAGTAGTAAATTCCTGGTTTTAGCGAAATAAATCTGAAAGGCTTCTCCTCATGGTTAGTCCTGACTCTGGCACCAGCAGGAGGCCAGTCCCTGTGCTCCTCAGAGTCCCAGTAAAAGGCCCATCCCTGTGCTCCTCAGAGTCCCAGCAGGAGGCCAGTCCCTGTGCTCCTCAGAGTCCCAGCAGGAGGCCAGTCCCTGTGCTCCTCAGAGTCCCAGCAGGAGGCCAGTCCCTGTGCTCCTCAGAGTCCCAGTAAGAGGCCAGTACCTCAGAGTCCTGGTTGGTTCATATGGCACTAACATGTCACGGATTTTTCTTCATATTTTCTCATTTGAGCATTTTTCACATTGAACATCTTGTAATTGAAATACAATGGTCAGTTTACTCATCTGGTCGAGTAAAAAGCCGTCGAAGAGGTGGTGATGATCCAGAGCACTCAACAATCAACAACATTTATAGCCACTTATGGACATTGGTCAACTCGTGCTGTGTTCTATATTTTTTGATTCTCTGATCTGTGTTGGCGATTTCAACAGTTTTGTTAAGATCTCTGTGATAACTACTGGGGCTTTACAAAAATAAATTAACTTAAATTGAAGAGAACCAATCATAGAATCTGCACAATGCATATTTAAACTGACACACTCCAGATGTAAACATGAATGTGTGTTGCATGGACACGGTTTCTTATCATCGCTGTGTAATAATAAACACAGCCGTCACCTACCTCCTTTGTACAGATGAAACGATAGCAATCCTGCATTTACAGCCACAGCCACAGGCCCCACATTGGCCACGACAGACGCCAACATCCTCTCGTCTCCACTGGGAAGCATGCGGAAGTCTGAGCAGTGAGCCGCCTTCCCTTGCACCGAGTAGCGGCAGATCCCGTTCTACAGGGAAAAAGAAGATTGATTAGATTCCGTCTCAAGATAAACGTGTTGTGAATACATTCTGCCCTGACATAAGCTGCACTCTATGAATTATTTATGATCAAACACTGAATATGTGCAACGTGAGGCTCGGATGCAAATAATGTCAGGTAAAGAAGAAACGTTTTATACCGAGATGGGATACTAGACAGTAACACAATGTATGACTGGTTCTTTTCAGAGTTGTGTTGTTGGGTCTGAAAGCATTTTTCCCACCACTAAGTTGAGCAGATAAATGATAATAATAAATACTGTAGGTTGAGACATATTCATCTAGAAGCACACGGTTCCCACATTATTCTGAAATGTTTTGGCATAAGACTCAATGTTAAAGTGCGATTCCTGAATCAAATTGTACTTTATCGTAACTTCCCATGCATTACATTTTACACATGGATCTTCATTTATGAAAACAACACACTGGCGCTTTGTGAAGAAGTTTATATCCATAACAAAACATAAAAAATCCTGTGTTTTACTGTTTATTCTCTCTTTTTAGACCTTCTCAGTGAACGGTTGGGCATAGGGGGGTGTCAGTAGCCTGGCCTTACCATACTATATCGCACTAATTTCATTTCGTACATGTAGGGAAATGATAATTGACCGGGGTTTAGGGATGGCTAAGGCTAGGCTAATATTACAGCATAATCCGAATGATTCAACCATTATTGTTCCACCTTATGAATCATCTCTCCATCTCTCTGCCGCCTCCGTCGAGCAAAGACGTGTCTCAGACGCTCCTGCTTCTGACTGCTTGCTATCTCCTGTTTTTGTCTTTTTCCTGGAGTTTTGCCACAGACAACTTTTAGCAAGAATGGAAATGGTAAATTGGTCCCTCAACGCAATTGATTCTATCTTTTCAACACGTAAGCGCGGGTCTGGAGAGCCCGTGTGCCCGGACGGGACTTCACCAGCGGGTTATACGCTTGACAGCTGGAACAAGTGGCAGCCCCTCTGTCTGTCGACCCTGTCCATTGAAGATTCGGAAGACGTATATATCTTTGGCTTTTTGGTGGTGGGGATCCTCCTGTTTGGGCTTGGAGCGGTTCTATTCTACCATAAATTCGGAGGCATGGCAGTTCGCAAGATTCACGACCTGCTGGCCAACAAAATTGATGGGATGTACAAGGAGCTTAACCGAGTCGTGGTTGAGAGCGCTGTGGCTGGACAAAGAAGAGTGGTGTTAGTGGAACAGTTGATCAGAGATCTCGCAGCTCGTTCACTCGATGGGCATAAAACTCTGGAATTGAGATTGAATGACATTGTTTGTCACGCTTGAACTCTCTGACCCGGCTTGGATTGGCCCCTGTGTACGGGGTCTGAGGGCGCCGCAATTCGGTTTAATTGGATTTAATAGAATATCTGCCTGTTTTTGACTGCTAAAATGCATACAATATTGTCCCTCGTTACAGGAAGATGTGTTTTTCTCCTTGCTGTGTCTTCCCTCCACTCTTATCTCACATTCCTCGGGCCAAGGCCATCATAATAAATCTGGACTCTACAACAATTTCACACTCTTTCAGTCAGTTCCAGCTTGGATCCCGCTCCCCCCGCTTCCCTCTGATCTCTCCCTCCCCTCCCCTCCTCACTGTGTTTCCGACTCACCCCCTCCCTGACCCCGCCCCCCTCTGACAGCCACATTGGGCCGGCTGCAGAAGGTGCTCATCCCGAAAAAAAAATCCGTGGTTTATACAAAGCACAATGTTTTCTATCCAACTGTCTGTTGTAACCTGTATGTTATTGCTCTCTGCTGTTTATTCTACTGTTTGTCGCATGGCGCCGGAAAAGATGGCGCCGTGGCAAGAGCTCTGGTATGTGTCGTCTCTGTCTGGCGCACACCGGGGTAGTCTTGCACAGTTTTTCCAATGTGGTTTTACTGCAAATGGCAAATAAATGAATCTGAATCTCTGCTTGTTCATAACAGGGCAAAACAAAGGGTGCTCTGGGCGGGGCTTACGAGTTACTATGGCTTTTATTTACATTTCCTACTTGGAAGTGTCCACGACCAGAGTACACGGTGCCAAGGACAGTGGTATTGACACGTGAAACATTGTCATAAGCCAAATCAAACAAGCGTTTCTTGAAGTTTTCATCTCTTTGTTTGATTTGTGACCGTTTTCAAATATATGTGTGTTCTTGTTTTGAGAGAAAAGTACATTCAAAAGGGATTATAGAAAAGAAAAAAGAAGTAGGTTGCTGGTACAGAAAACAACATTTGTCTTGCCACCTTCTTAAGAAATGTGATCCCCTGTTTATCATACTCGAGATCGTCAGTAATCATGGAGTAGAGTCGGCTCTGTGATGGCACATTTATTGACAGCCAAAAAATGGTCTGGGGTTTCTCAACTGATTTAGACTAATGTTGGTGTTCTGAGTCCGAATATCACATGCATTTTGCTCTATCAGGTCAACTTTTTTTTTTTTTTTTTTTTTTTTTTTTTTTTTTTTGGGGCGACAGTAGCTCAGTTGGTAGAGCATTGGCCTTAAGGCCAGAAGGTCGTGGGTTCAATTCCCACCTCTGCACCTTCTCCACCGACTCCCACTGATGACTGCTGTCGTTGTGTCCTTGGGCAAGACACTTAACCCCACTTTGCCCAAAGCCCCCACTGAAAGATCAAGGCTATGCTCACACTCAGAGAGCAGCCGTCCTCCTGTGGACTCACCACCTGCAGAGGGTCAGTGAGGGGCTGGTGCTATGAGACTTGGGTGGCATCTCTGATTGCCACCCCCCTGACCCAGAAATGGATTAAAGGGTAGAAAATGGATGGATGGAGGTCAACTTTTTGAGATACAGCCATAGTGTTACGGATTACCTACGTCTACGTTATTATGAATTCTCCTTGATGGAGTAAATAAAAACTGAATGACTTTGGATACGTTGACTTTTATTTCTTGGGGAAAACGGAAAAAACGTCAAGGGTTTCTCAGCTGATGATCCGCAGAAATTTGTTTTTTTTACGCAAAATCGATTAAACAAAATATTTCTGTAGCAAAAAATCCTGACCTGATTGAGCAAAAACCAAGGTCATTTCCGGACTCAGAGCAACAAAATTAGTCTAATTCAGCTGGAAAACCCTGGACTACTTTCTAAAAATATTTTTTTGTTACCCAGTGTTATTATAAGAATCTATTGCATCAAAACCAGTCCTTGATACTGGCTCAAACCATGAATCCCATTTGGTTCATCTGAATTATGTTTCCCCTTTCTGGAAAAAGGAACCAGACCCATGGCCCACAATGAAATTATATCTACAAAAACTGACTGTTGTTTGCATAATCTCCCCTTCAGTCTTTTTTCTCTCTCTCTTTAATTCTTTTTATTAGGCCCGAGCCCCAACCGGGGTAAGGGCCTATTGCTTTTCCTGTCATAAGTCACAATCTTCGGGCGCAGCCCGGAGATTGTGACCTGCACGCGACGGCACGTGCCCAAACACTGATAAATCCGTGCCGGAGGCACGGAATGGCTTTGTTCCTGCTGTAGTACACAGTGAAATGATGAAAGTCCTTGAAAAGTCCACAGTGAAAGTCCTATTAAAGGGGGGTTCCTTCAACTGTCTTATGGACGAATGTCCGGGCGAAGCCCGGACATTCGTCCCCCAAGCCCGACGGCGCGTGCCCAGACACTGACAAAACAGTGCCGGAGGCACTGAATGGCTTTGCTCCTGCTACTACACAGTGTAATCAATGGGGTCCTATGGGCGGGGTGGGTGACCTCATGATGGCGAGGTGATTGACGAGCGCGTCAGCGCTCGTCAATCACCGAGAACCCAATAGTTGCGTTCGTCTGGTCGTTCGCTTTAAAACGACGTATCATTTGTATTATAGGTTACTATGGAAACCTATATTGTTTTTGCTCGAAGTTTAAAAAAAAAAAAATCCTTCTTATTAGGCCCGAGCCCCAACCGGGGTAAGGGCCTATTGCAGGGGTGGCCAACCCGCGGCTCGTGAGCCGCATGCGGCTCTTTGGCTGGTTCCGTGCGGCTCTCGGGCTTTCACACGACAAGCGTCAAAAACGCCTCGGTGGTGGCGCTGCCATTCATTCTCTATGTAGTTCTGACCCATAGTAAAGGCCGACTTCACTCCACTAGCCAGGCCACCAAAACAATCTGACGTCGGCGAACGTCAATTCTGATTGGTCAGATGCGCTGTCAACCACTCTGCAGCCGCTGCCTCAGCTGTTAAATATCATAACAAACAACACGTTGCCTCGACCCATGGCGTCCGTACGGAAAACAGTTCCTTGGTCGCTGGATGAGGGCAACACCTTCCTCAGTTTGAGGAGAGGACACCAGCGTGAGCTCGATGGTTCCACCAGAAACCAGAAGGTGTTTGTGGAGCTAGCGCTAAGGACGGAGCAGAATGATTCCCACAAATATGACAATGCAGAGAAAAGTTAAAAAGCTTAAAAGTGACAACCGAGAAATGAAAGATCGCAGCAGCAGAAGTAGAGGCAGACCCGAAAAGTCTGGAGGTGGTTTGACCAAATGGATTACATTTACGGACATCGGCTAACACCGGCTAACATGCTAAAACCAGCTAACACCAGCTAGCGTTACACCAGGAGAAAAGCCAACTCTGCCTGGTGAGTGTCTGTCTTCAATCAAATGCAAAAGTATCTGGTCTTATACTGAGCATGTGTCTGTGGTTCTAAATCAGCTAAAGTGGTGTTGGTGTTATGTGTCAAATTTATATCTTTTACTAAATACAGTCAGAGAGTGAATCATGGTTCGATAAAGACAGTTGTGTTTCTGCTGAATACTGGGTTGAAACTTGATTTTTTTTTCTTGGTTAGAGATTGAAAGCATTCATTTCGGAATCATAATTGATGTTCGCTGACGTGCAATTGTTCTGGTATCGACTCGCCCGGTTAGAACCAGGGCCGAACCATCAATAAAAAGTACCGGGGAGCGGTTGAAGCGAGCGGTAGAAGCGCCCGCAAACCAGGGAGAGTCGAGTCCAGC